ATATCAAGCTCTCTCCTGCGCCCTTGCTTATACGTATAACAAAACTATCCATTTCTGGTAGTGTTAACTGTCGTAGATGGGAAAACTGAAACCACACGCTGAAGTGTGTGAATAAAGATGAATGTGAGAGTTTTTTATATTTAAGAAAAATAAATTCATAATGAATCTGAGGTTGGCGTTTAGTTCTGCGTTAACACAATTGACCGTATATAATATGAATTCTGAATCCATGGGTGTGGAAAGTCAGCGGAAGAAGAAAGAAAGAATCGCTCGTCATCTTTTGGATTGTTCAAGATAACCATTTACGACTCGTGACAAAGCCTGTTCCTTGGACTTTGTGCTCCGTCATTTTGAACTGCCCCGTTCGCTTGTATGGAACAATCTTTAGTTCCCTGAACCATAATTAAACCAGAGAAATATTCCAGAACAAATAGTATTTAAACAAACTGTTAAGTCTTTTCTGTGGAATCACAATGGAATCACTCATTTGTCACAATGAGTTGCTTATCAGCGTAGTTCCTTTCAGTTTTGCATGGGTGCATTTTCTTACTATCCGATTAACGCCCCCCTCCCGCCCAACCAGACAGACAAGACATCCGACCTACGCCTATAGCGCATTACACACATGCCAACAAAGTTTGGCGAAACGCACATCAATTCGGAATAAGCTCAAGCAGGCGATTGATTTTATATTCGTGGTTTTGCGCTACAATGTATCACTTGGGTTAATCTACTTGTACTAAGAGAAATCTTAAAGGAAAACTTTCGGTATAACCAAGCAGTGGGAATAACTCATTCTTCCGGGTGCGCATTTGTAACCTTAAGTTACGGGATCCATACATTCGCAGTAAAAAAATGAACGACATTATGTTAGAACCCAAAGGAGCTGAAACGAGTGCTTCCCTGGAGAATAATAACACGCTAACAGAAAATGGTGCCAAGGAACAGGTAAGTTTAAGATTGACGGCGGTGGGATTGCTGCGTGCAAGTGCCGCGGGGGTGCGTGACCCGTGAAAGGCGCTATATAGCCTGGAAAAGAGCGAAGCAGAAATACATAGGTATGCCCTAACAGTGGAAAGGTCACTCGGGTAAACTGCAGTAGGAATTAAGGTAACGCAAATTACAAAACAGAACCAGCAGTACAGCGCGGAATGGGAGCGTGTCGGCGAAGACGGGCGCCGGTGTTTGCGCCGCTGTTTATATCCTCACGGACTTCGGCGCCACAGATCCGGGTTTGGGGTAACAGCCTTGACCCGGACCGGCAACTTGACTCTGCGGATAAGCGAAAATAGCATCAGTTTATTTCAATTATGTATTTAAGGAGAAAGTCAAACAGTGCTTTTTATATTTGGCTCCGGTAGCCTAAGTTATTGCTTCACACCAGGTGAGTTAATGAGGTTTTTTTCCTGGAATCGGTGTGTGCGTGTGCGAGGGGGGTGCGGTGCTTGGTTTTTCTGTGACGGAACTGCGCTTTTCGTTGGATTTAAACTTTAATTGAAATATGGGGTTCTAATAATAGCTGTAATAACAGTGACACCCCCTTGTAAACTATGTTGATGGGGGGTAATGATCCGTAGCCACGCCCCTGAGGTTATTTATTGCAAGATCGTCACTGTTAAAATTTTAAATTACATTACAGCAAAAGACGGTGTCCTTGTGCCCTTGGTGGGTGGCGTTTGGTGGTGGGGGTGACGATGGCTCATTAGCTCATTTGTGCAGCTGCGGAATAGATGCAGGCCCAAATGTCTATTGGGTGAGATTTCCAAATTATATTAGGCGCTTCTGTAAAACTCTTTCGAAATGGGTCTGTGGTTATACCAGTCAGTACTGCATGAAATAAGTGTTTCAGGATACTAACTTGTCAAAACAATGCAATTGAAAAACAGAGGGAGAGATGTTAAATTGCAGTAGATGTTTTTAAGGTTTCATTCATCCCTATACACCCCTATGGTTCTCCAGTTTTCATCTTTGTTACCAAGATAATAGTGAACTTCAACTGAAAACACAAACGTGCATTTACATGTTTCCACAGGAAAACGGAGACAGGTTCTGTCAGGACACGCATAACAACCCCGAGGAAATTGACTTGCTGGTACAGTTTGAGCTCTTGATGCGGGCTTGTTCATTAAACTAAGCTGTAAGGTGTGTTAGCCATGACAACCACTAGCTGTTACTTATGAATGAAAACTAATTATATATCTGTATGTATGTATGTATGTATGTATGTATATATCTCAGTAAAAGACTAGGGACGGTTGGCTTGCGTGCGCATGTGTGACCACGCGCACCGTGACACTTGATACGCTTGACGCATTCCTTGACGTAGGATGACGTGATCGTTTACGCATAGGGTGCCCGTAATGGACCTCAGATTGCCGGGAGCGTTGGCGATCGCGGCACTGCTGCAGCAGAGGTGAGCAGCCAGAGAATGAGCCCCGTTTTGTATGGAACGCCGTTGGAGTATAAGCTATGACACAGAATACGTCTCGACACGGCATTTCCCCCTATATACATCTCCACGCCGCATTTTTTATGGAAGGCCCAAAGGGTCAAAACGTGTTAAGAATACACTACATGGACAAACGTATTGGGACACCTGGCCATTGCACCCACAGGAACTTTTATGACATCCCATTCTAAATCCATACGCATCAGTATGGTGTTGGTTCCCCCTTTGCAGCTATAACAGCTGGCACTCTTCTGGGAGGGCTTTCCACAGGATTATGGAGTGTGTCGGTGGAAATTCTTGCCCATTCATCCAGAAGAGCATTCATGAGGTCAGGCACTGATGTTGGACATGAAGGCCTGGCTCACAATCTGCATTCTGGTTCATCCCAAAGGTGTTTGATGGGGTTGAGATCAGGGCTCTGTGTGGGCCAATCAAGTTCCACAATAACTAACCCAACCATGTGTTTATGAGCCCTGCTTTGTGCACTGTGACAACACCCTATGGTCTGCCAGTTCGCGGCTGAGTTTGTTTTTCCTAAACGCTTCCACTTAGCAATAATATCAGATACAGTTGATTGTGGAATATCTAGCAGGGAAGAAAATTTCATGAACTGACTTTTTGCAGTGGCAGAATTCACTGAGCTCTTCAGAATGACCCATTCCTTCACAAATGCTTGCCAACCTGACTGCCTGACTAGGTGCTTGATTCTATACACCTGTGACAATGGGTCTGAATGAAACACCTGAATTCAGTGATTAAGAGGTGTGTCCCAAAACTTTTGCCCATATAGTGTATGGGGACAGTGTGAAATGGGACGTACTTGTTTACCTCACCACTGTATCATCAAGACGAACAAGATGTACGAGCCACGTTTCACTGGAGGAGTATTCAAACCGCTTTCTAAGCCAGTGTTTTCTCTACATGGCGTGTGTTTCACAGCTGCTTGCCCCGAACATGCGGTCTACATCACTGCTTACATATTCAGATGGAATGTGGTGGAGTTGTGGCTAATTCTGAATTCTCACTGGTGCCGCTCGCACTGGAAAAATTCAATCCATCTGCAGAATGCAAGCCAAAATAAAGTGAAACTAAACTAACTAGCTGAAACTAAGTTAATGACTGATCGGGGCTGGCTCAGTCTCCAGGAAGCGCCATGTCTTTTGCACAGAGATACAGGACTTCCTGTAACAAAAGGGTCAAAACCTGTTAACTTCTTTGACGTTAACAGGCTCAAAATTGACATCAACCTGCACAATTTGCACCTGTTAACACATTATCATGCCTTAACACATACGTAATATACGTGTCCGTTAACATGCCAAAAAAGCCGTGTCAAGACGTGTTCTGTCTCTCGCTTTATACCCCAATTCCATCCCATAGTTTTGATGCTGCTGTATGCTGTTGCATTCTTCCTTCTAATTTTCTCAATCTGCTTATTCAAAAAATATGTTTTATGTTTCTATTCATAGCTGATTCTGTTTCCTGTTTCTTCACACTTCTCTGTAAAACAAACCGCTACTAGCTATTGAGGCTGGTTATTTATCCATGTTTCGACGATACAGCATTGTGTAAATTGAGAAATTCTTTTTTCATAATTGGATTTCCACAATAACTATAACAGCAATTAATGTGTTATGTTTCTCTTGCCGAAGGCTATTATCAGCAACTAACGAGATGTTTGGGAATCTCAGTTTAGGCAAACTGAACCATTGTACTGTAAGTCAGGGTTTCTTCTGGATCCTGATTATTTATGCATTTACTGAATAATTGTTGCTGGTGTAGCAGGGATTGCAGTGTCCACCATCTGCTTCGCATTGTGCTGCGCCGTGGCCGTAACCATCTCAACACGCTCAAGTGTTTTTTTGCAGAATTAATGAGACTCAGATGTGGTCCGAGTCTCCCAGGGATGTCTGTGCTGAGAACAGCGAACATATAAAGACAGAAAGCCATTGAGTATAGTCTTTCTTGATCCTTCATTACCATTTTCTTCTCTAATGGTTTCTAGAATATCCAGAAGCCAGATCAAACTTGATTCAAACCCACTTTCAGAAATTAAGTCATAGGCTGACAAATAAATGCGTCTAAATAAAGTTGATCTGTGTAGAGTAGCTGTTGCAGCAGATCTGCTCTCATATTGCTCTTGCACTCTGGTCTCCTTGAACTTTCATGTACCTGTTTGGCCTTGGTTTAGCTGTCTTTCATTTCCTCCCTCACTTCCTTTCATTGTTTTTTTTTTTTTTTTCTCTCTCTCTCTCTCTCGACGGTTCTCGGCCAGCAGCATCTCGCTGTAGGTCCTTCTTGGTTGCTTGCCTCTCTAAGCTCTCCGTCCACCAGCCCTATGCTTTTGGCAGCTGATCATCAGTTCACCAGATGGCTTGCATCACGTGAACATGATGCAAGGTGGGAATTAAGCAAAAAAATGTTTTGGTCTGACTGAATTCCAAAGTTTGTAACGTAACAAATGCTTGTACATGTTCCTCTTAGAGGCGGTCAGCCAATAGCCCATGGAATGAACTGAACAGAATAGTCATCTGGAAACTCAAGCTCTGGATGGTCATACTAATCATTTTTCTGGTAATCTTCCTGGTCATCGTGTTGTCCCTAGTCCTCTATTCAGGTATGGGCCAAACACATCTGTCAAGTAGAGAAACAAAGAATATATTTACATGCTTAAAAGCTTTGAAACTACTGGTCTTGTAAATTGAAGTTTTATTCTCAGTCTGGAAGAATAAATATTGGTATTACTAATGGTGACAATGAAAACAGAGTTAATGAGATGTTTAAGGATCTGAAATAGTCTGTGCACATACAGTAAACTAAGTTTTGCAGGTTCTTTGTGCAAACTTTCTGAAGGACTTAAATTGCACCAGGTTGTTTGAATTGAAGAAAGGCAATTGCTAAGCAGCTGAAATAACCTTGATAACCTTGTGGATTGTACTGTTTGTCTGCGAGGCTCTGTTCTTATTTCCTTCACTGGTTGGCAGTGGTGTATCAAGATGAGGATGAAAAGTTTGACCGAGGATCATTTGTGGTCGAACGCCTTTACACTGGTACCTTCAGGCTTATAAACCAGAACTACACTGAAGATCTGCACTTAATGAAGTCCCCACAGAGCACAGAGCTTTCACGTTATCTCCAGAAAAAGGTCAGCCTGTGGTCCATTTGCTGTGGTTCTTGCTTTGCAATACGAGAAATTTTCTAGGAACAGTTTGGTTTGTCTCTGTTAATAATGCTGGCCATGCTAAATGCTTGCTGTTTCATAGCTGCTGCATTTTAAGATTCACCGCGATTGCATTTTGAATGGAGGAGTGCATGTAGTTGCACCCTTACTGCCAGAGTTGGGTAATTCAGGTTCAGAGTGTAAAAGTCCAGACCGGGGTTTTGTTTCAACCAACCACTTGAGCATAAAGAGTCACAGTCGCAGAGTGCGCAATTCATTGGTTGAAACAAAATCCCGGTCTGGACTTTTACTCTCGGGGCCTGAATTACCCAACTCTGCTTTCTGCAGCATTGAGGAATGTGCTGCATTAAAATGTTACATCTTCTCTCTCCTTCTTTCCAACTTCATACTTCCCTGCTGCCCAGCTGGGTGACATCTACACGTCCTCCCCGGCCCTGGGCCGGTACTTCTCCAGCGTGGGTGTGAAGAACTTCAGGTGAGCCTCACGACCCCCAGATGGGAGCCGGAGGTCCTTAATGCCTGATGCAGAAATGCATTTGAGAGCAGAAACATCCATACAGCATTCCTGTCATCCCCTCCAGCAACGGCAGCATCACGGCGCACTTCTGGTTGATGTTCCACATGCCCCAGGATCATACTGAGCTGGTGCAGCACACACTGAGCAGGTCTATGGTGCAGAACGTGCTTCGGCAGAGCCTGTATGAGCAGGAGTTCAAGCCCTGGGAACCACTCTACATCGATCCTGCCAGTTCGCATATGGCGGGTGAGTCACTGGTGCTCTCTGCACAGGCAGATAGGAAGCCACCTGGACAAACTGTCCATCTCATAATGTTGGCTTTTATCATTTTAGACATGAGTCAGATGGTTAACGGTGGGAAGCCCCCTCTTAATGGGAGCGTTATATCTGGGGGGTACATCTGGCCTCCCAGATGAGGCTGTTTATCCACACTGAGCCTGTCGCTTAGATGTGCCCGTGTTTGCCCCCTTCAGACGGCAGTTTCAAAATGTTAACAGGAAGCAACGCGTAGCAACATGATGGCGAACGATCTGCATTAGAGTTTCTGCAGTTGTTGACTTTAGGAATGCACGATCAAAAACGCATGGGAGGCATCACGCGTTTGCAAGGGACTGAAGACATAGGAGCTCGTATTCAAATGCATAAGTCCACTGACTGGCCAGAAGTATGTGGGAACCTCACCATGACACCTGCATGTGCTTGTTGAACATCCCATTCCAAAACCATAGCCACTAAAATGAATTTGGTCTCCCTTTTGTTGCTGTAAAAGCCTCCAATCTTCTTGCAAGGTTTTCCACTAGATTTTGGAGCATGGTTGTGGAACTTCGGCCAAAAGAGCATATGTGAGGTCAGGCACTGATGTCGTAGTTGCAGTTCACCCCAAAGATGTGCAGTGGGATTGAGGTCAGGGCCCTGTGTGGGCCAGTCTAGCTGTTCCACACCGGCTTCAGCAAACCATGGATGTATTGAGCATAGGGGCACAGTCATGACAGAAGGGGAAACGGCCTTCCCCAAACTTTTGGCACTAAGTTGGAAATACCCAATCGTCTATAATCGGCACACAGGCAGGAAGGTTCTTCTGGCATCTGAGACCCCAAAGTCAGATCCTGCACATGGAGCATCAGCTTTTAGGAGTCTTACTGCTTGCTCTGCCATTATCTAGCGATCTCTTGTGTTCCGTCAAATATCCAACTTAAGATAAGTCAGCTAATTATTATTGCGTGTGTGTAGGTGTAAGTGTAAGAAATGTTACAATTTATTGTTTTTCAAGAGCAGCATTCAGGGCAGAACCTTGATCCCAGTGTCACTACATACAAGATCTTTTACTGTAAATATTTAAAAATGGTACTAAGAATGATAATGTTTTTCTTATTTCAGTTGGATTCAGTAGCAATTATTGTTTTTGTTTATCGTTTATTTTTGTAACTTGTTTCAGTTTATGAAAATGTTTTCTTGTTTTAGTCTTTAACCATAATCCTGGCTTCCATTGCTCCGCAGTCCAATGGTGAGGCGCTTTACAGCGATTACTGCTGCACTTGGCATTGGGCATAGTAACTCAGTCATGGCAACTCGGTCCATAAGGCTTGGAATGGACAGTTCTTACTCTGACAGCTGCCCGAGGCAGTTTGAAACTCTGTTAAGGCGATTATTATTATAATTTTTTTTGCCTCAGCACTCTACGGTGCCGGTTTGTCAGCTTTTGTGGCTTGCCTCTTCATTGTTCAGCTATGGTTGCTCCTTGACGCTTGCGTTTCACCAAAACAGAACTAGCAGTGGACTGGGGCAGGTCTAACAGGGCAGAAATTTGATCATGTGATTTGTTGCAATGGTAGCATCATATGATGGTGTCAAGTTCAGTCACAGGGCTTTTCAGTATGAGCCATTCTGCAGCCAGTGTTTGTCTATGGAGGCTGAACGGCTGTGTGCGTGATTTATTGGTTTATGCTAGCAATGGGTGTGGCTTAAACGGCCGAGCTCAATAATCAGAAGGGGTGCCCATATTCTTTTGGCTAAGCAGCGTATCTTTATGCTTCCATAAGGAAGCGCACAATTTCCACAGCAGCAATATCAATCCCAGGAGTCGTTGAAACAGGATTCATTGGTTTCCTCCACCGGGAACAAAATTTGTTACGTTAGCATTCCTGTCCTCTGTGAAGTTAGGGTGGTACTGTGGATGAGGGTTTACACACCAGTTTACACACATGTTACTTGTAAGCAAGAGAAGTACACATGAGATACATCATCATGAGGGACTGACATTTTTTTTTTCTCTCCCTTACAGTCGGGAATACCACACTGAATGGCCAATCGAATGACTGTAAGTAAAACTGTTCAGGGATGTTAAACTTTCTGCACCTGTACAGAATCCCATCCCTCTTATTGTCACGTGATTATAAATGTAATTAGATTTCATTTGTTTTTTTTGCAGTTACGTCTTAAAGCTACACATTTGGGAAGTCCGCATATAGGACCAAGTATAAGACGGACACCTCCGAAGATCTGAAGTGAAAGCAAGGAGATGGAAACCAGTGGCTCCCAGTTTACACTAACATTTATGAGCAAATTGAAGTGCCACAGTCGGGGAACTTATAGGAATTGTTTTCTCGAAATATACACAGACTGGCCCTTGATTTTTGACGTTGTGGAGTCAAAGAGCCTGAACGGAGGAGTTCGGCTTAAATGAAGAGGCTGCTGTAAAGAGCAGCTTCTCGGTCTCCTTTACTACTGTGTGTATGTGGGGCATAAACGGGATCTGCCAGCATTTACTGAGGCAGCTTGTGAATATGGGGACATGTAAATGGCATTTGTTGATAAGGTGCAATTAGGGGGCCATAAATGGTGCTCTTTGGATTTTATAAAAAGAATATAGGATAATATACAGTATGTATGAAAAGAGGGGTAATTTTAAACTACAGTGACTAAAGACATTCTTTTTATAATTTTTTAAATAAAGTTTGTTACTCCTAAACACATTGATCCTTCTGTCTGCCACATACTTTTCAAGGTTGGGGGCGGGTGGGGGGACTGGAGCCAAGTAGTATAGGAAGGAAGGAACAGGGTACATCCTGGATGGGAAGATTCCAATGTACTGTTTACATTAATCAAAAGTAGATATTTTTTTCTAATTGTAATGAGGTTAATTGCCCAGTAGAGGGCGAACATGTGCTCATGCTTTGCAGTATTGCAAACGATTTGCGTCAGAGGCGGTGCAACCAAGTGAAGAAGTTTGTGACGAACGCTTGTGCATGTTGTTCTTAGTGGCGCGCAGTCAAGGGCTGATGGAACGAACTGAACGAACTGAACAAACTAGTTTGGGGGCAGCCAGTGGCTAAGCCTCTCTATCTGGGATCAGAAGGTCACCAGTTCAAGCCCAGCCTTAGCATGTCCCTGGCTCCTTGAGCAAAGCACATGGCCCAGCTCTCTGTGCGCCACAACAAGTGGCTGCCCTTCCCTGCTCTCATGGAGGTCAGGATGGGGATGATACGTGTCCATGACTGCGGCGGGGATTCAAACTTTAAGTTAAGAATGCAGATTCTCCTACCTCAATTAGCATGTGCTAGCCCATCTAAGTGGTCAAAATAAGGAAGTGTTGTTGTTTGCTCTAATCCGAAACCTCTAACTAGCGTTTGGGGTCATTCTAGCTCAGGAATGTGCCTTTAAGAGGATGGGAAGATGTTCCGATGTGTCTTATTCACATAATACTGTCAATTTCATTATCACCATAAATGGATATACGTGGATAGCTATTAATGCATATATGGTTAGCTATTGATGCATAGCACAGACCAACAAGCATTGAGAGAGGCTTCTAAGTGCTTGTATCTTGGAATGTTCCTTCTCCTCTCTCACTCCTGGAATGTTGTCCGCAGATCTCTTACCAATTGGAGATTTCAAAAAAGGAGTAGGGAATTCCTTCATTTCAGCTTTACTGCAAATGCGTAAATGTTCTGCAGAAAAATAAACAACGGAAAATTATTAAATGACTACTGGGCTGTAACAGGAAATGCTCATTAGTGTGGTATTAGTGTTATGACATGTTTCTTATGCTGCTGAAGATTTACACCATTTGCTTTAATAGAATGGATTATGTAAAATGCAGCACCTTCAGAAGATGGAAATGATCTTAATCCTGTAGGTAGGCCTTGTCTGTTTTGACAAACAGCCACCGCTTCCCAAAGGCAGTCTATCATCCACTTGCTTTTCTCCATGCCGCAGGGAGTTCCAGGCATTGCACTCGTGGCAGTCTGAGCCCTTTGTGCCATCACAGCCCAGAGACACATTCACACGCAGCAGCACTGGGGCAGCCGAAGGGGCGGAGTTACCTCACAGGGACACTCCACATCTCCATATCCCTCACGATTCCCCAAGGCGTTGCGATTTTCCCAGAAGAAAGCTTCAGTTATCCCATTAAGGGCGCTTGTTTCCTTTTCTGAGGCCAGTGGCTTAAGAGGTTTAGGCTGTCTGAGTTCAGAGCCTTCTAGAAGGGACCAGGAGAGGCACGTCCCCCGGCAGGAGTCATGGGTGCCCAGGGCTCCAACCTGGACGACGTTCTGGCTGAGGACATGCACCACTGGTACAACAAGTTCATGAGGGAGTCGCCCTCGGGACTGATCACGCTGTTTGAGCTGAAAAGCATGCTGGGATTGCAGGGAATTACACAGGAGGCCAGCAGCTATGTGGACCAAGTCTTCCTCACCTTCGACATGAACGGGGTGAGGTTCTTAAATCCTCGGCGCGCTCACTTGCCACATTTAGCTGGATGCTGTTAATGAAAGGGAACAGATGTCATTGACAGATATGCAGTAGTGCAGCCGTATCTGCGGGTGACACATTCCAAGACCTACAGTAGATAAACCAAACCAGGGATAATAGTGAATCATCCACAGACCCCATATATAACGTGATTTTCATGTATATTTGGTAAAGTTTAATTGATGAATTACGCACAGTAACACGTTACGTTACCAACATTACATACAGTAATAAGTACATTGTACATAATTATTCAATACCATAGAGTACTGAACTCTCTGAAATGAAAGGGATTCTGACGTTTTAGCCTAACTCTGAAGAGACAATGGAGCAATGAAAAAATATTATGTATCAAGGGATGATGGAGCGATGAAAAAAACATATAGTTACACATTTTACAATTTTTTACAAGCACGGGTTACTGAAATCGCCGATACGGGAGGGCACTGAAAATGTAAAAACCCTGAAAATGGCCTGCACTTTATGGTACAGGGATATTAAACTAGCGATTACAGAACAGAGCAATTCTTAGCATAGTATAATTATGGGAGTGAAGTTATTATGGTGTGACACGAAATGTTTATGAAAGTAATGAATATTGCACCATTTTAAAGCTAAATGCTCAAAACATTTCTGTAGGATGCCTGTCACTCGGTGTCTTAGCCATATGATGTGTCTGTGCTCGCATGATGTCTCGATTTCCTCAGCATTTAACATATCCAGTGTTAGTTCTATAGATAAGCTCTTAAACTGCAGACTCTCCAATGTCAGGATATTGCTGCATTCCATTTACCTTGGCGGTCAGGAGCCGGAGTTGGGAATCACGTCGCACCCTAGTTAACCGCGTTCCAGTTACAAGAAGTCAGAACGTCTTTTAGCATTTGCAGTGACCTGTTTAAAAAAGGAGGATTTCTTGCTTAATGGACAAGCTGGCGAATTTAAGGTGCCCCAGTTTAGATGGTCTTTATTTTTTGTTCACTTACAATTAGCCCAGACTACCTTAAATCCAACAAGTTATCTGGTTATCTGCTTTCTGAAACAGGCTCTAGTTCTAACCCGGTTCATTGTTAGCCAATGTTACCAATATCAGTTATAACAACACATTACGCAGTATTTTGCACATACGAAGGCCATAGCAACATGTCCACTGATAGCAATTGGACAGTACTGTGTTTGGCCAATTTAATGAAACAGAAATAAAACATAATTACTAATAAACAGTATATACGTACAGCTTTCACTTCTGTTGGTAAAGGGCACAGCCATCTTGCATGCTGAGGTCATGGTTGCAAGGATCCCTCAGACTTTGAGTCAGAATTCCGATTTCAGGCGAAGTCCCAGCTGAAATTTCTGACTGGGAACCCGGAATTTCTGACTACCAAGTTCAATTGGAATGCAGCATAAGTGACAAGGCTGTCCCAGTTTCATACCATAGCATTTAAGTTCCCTAGTTGTGCAGGTTTGCAGAAGCGAGTACTTTCACTGCAGAGATGGGAAGCAGAACAGTTGGTTGCATTTTTTTAACCAGCATGTTAGTTCATAGTCATTTGTGGTTTTCATGGAGTCTGTGATTTGATGTACTGTAGGTATTTCTAGGTTCTGTGTTTGCATTGGTCAGCAATACAGTGTAGTTCTGGGAGAAATTAGGTTTTGAAATTCACAGTTTGTGGTCTTTTCTGTGCAAGTGGTCACTGTGTGGTCCAGGCAATTCCTGATGAAATTTTAGGTTGACACTGGGTTAAATCATCCACCCATCCATCCAACCATCCATCCATCCATCCATCCAACCATCCATCCATCCATCCATCCATCCTCTGACTGCTGATGGGCAGTAATTAGAATATCAGTGATTCCTACTTAAATACTAAAGATACTCTTTTGAACCATAATGAGAAAAGCTAAGAAATGCTAAAACTAGAAATGTATGAACATAAAATGTTGTCATGTGGTCAAATTCCTGAACTGCCACAGAATAATGACCAAACTAAGATTTCTGGTTCAAGTAACCACATATGCTAAAATACTATAAACACTATATTTGTATATACATGGTAACATTGTTTGTGTGTTTGTCAGTCAAGGCAGACACAGTTTAAATTTGACACAGTTTAAAATGACATTATCTCACCTTGCCAGTCCTCAGCATGTGTCTGGATTTTCTAGATAAAATCAACTGTTAGTAATTCAATGTAAAAGAATAAAATGGGGATATTTATGACATGTGAGGCTTTTAACAGCACAGAGAGTGAGTGGATGGGATTCTGAATGCAGGATTAGTCTGATACAGAGGCAGGATTTTCCCCTTCCTGTCAGATTAAGTTAGTCTAGGTGATACAGACTAAAAGTCATGTAAATAAAAATGGCAGCCACATAAACACAGAGACCTGGTATCACTGTCATGATTAAATTTTGATTACAAAAGCTGACATTATCAACATGATAAGGTGTAGCTGTAAGTGCAAACTCCAGGCTGTTTTGATGATACTCTCTGAATTGCTTGTGAATGTCCGCTAAGAGATGAACCCACCACTGTTTCTTCTTCTTCTTCTGCCATTGTTAGGACGGCTATATCGATTTTGTGGAATATATCGCAGCGGTTAGTTTACTGCTAAAAGGAGAAATTAACCAGAAACTCAAGTGGTATTTCAAACTCTTTGACCAAGATGGAAATGGAAAAATTGACAAGGATGAATTGGAGACCATATTTAAGGTAAACGAGCCGTGATTCACCAGATACAATAAACTAGAACTTAAATCTGATGAGGAATTGTCACTACATTGGCATTTAGGAATATCCAGGGATGTTACTCACTAAGTAGCCTGCAGTTAGTAAGATTTAAGTATAAGAAGAAGAAAAAGTAGATCAGGACTAACCTAAAATTAGCCTTAATCTGATTTTACCCCCTGATCCCAGTGAGCTACTTTCCCAGTGGTTCAAAGCTGGTTGCAACCAGTATGCATTTTAGTTAAAGTTCAGAGACCATCTGCGTGTTGCATTACTGTGACTGATAGACCGAACTTCCCAGGAATATCAATATTACAGCACGATGTGAGGTGCAACCTTTTCACTGTGTAATAAATAATAATACAGAGAGAAAACCTTTTGGCTTCGATAATATCCACAAAACTATTTTTGCATGCAATGAGTTTACTGAGGCAGGCTACTCAAACCAAAACTTATTTACTTGTAATTCTCATTTCACAAATTTAGTAACTGATAAGGAGAGAATGTTTACTGCTCTTTAAATGCATTTTCTTATCACCTACTTTGTAATGCCATAGATGAAACACCTTGAATTCGCTACTGAAATATCTATGATTTATGTTAATAAAAGTAAAGCAACTAGACTATTAATGGCCTGTAATGAATTATTACCTTCTGGGTGCAAAAATGGAAAAGAAAAAAAACAACAAACATCCGGCAGACTAACATCATGCGAGCCATCACAAAGAATTTCACATAAATTTGTGGCTGTAAATTACATTTGCATTGCCATTTGTCATATTTATCTGTGGGGGAGAAGGCTGTGACTGAATATATATTTTTTGATTATTCCATTCAATGTTTAATTTGTGTTTTAGGCCATACAGGACATTACCAGAAGTTACGACTTTCCTCCGGAGGAAATTGTGAACCTTATTTATGAGAAAATTGATGTGAAAGGAGAAGGTAAGATACAGAAAGATACATGGATTAGCTTCCCGTTACTCATATGGAGAAGGTAAGATACAGAAAGATACATGGATTAGCTTCCCCGTTACTCATATGGAGAAGGTAAGATACAGAAAGATACATGGATTAGCTTCCCGTTACTCATATGGAGATGGTAAGATACAGAAAGATACATGGATTAGCTTCCCCATTACTCATATTTTCGTTTGACATTGTTCGCTTCCTTTGTTTATATTTGGCATTAATTGAGCCAGCTCTCCATCTATACATTTCTCATCTCTGCACATGGGAGGCATCCATGAATATTAGAAAAAAACTCCCAACGAGTAAAACAACACAAACCTCAAGATCCCTAATGATTAATAGTGATATTCCATTAACCTTCAGGTGGAAATTCCCATTTTCTTTGCCTACACCCTACTGTTCTCGGGGGAGTAATAGCACAGGGTCAGCCAGCATGCGGGGGGGGGGGTTTATAGCACAGGGTCAGCCAGCATGCAGTGTCCATGCAGCTGGGGGTTAAGGGCCTTGCTCAAGGGTCCACAGACATGTGACTATTCTGCCAAGGCTAGGCTTTGAACCAGCAACCTTCTGATCACAGGCTTAGCCCAATGAACTACACAGTACTTCCATGATTATGTGAATATAACAATAAATCAGTAATTTCATTTTGAATTTATTTTTACTGAATAAAGAAAAATAGCACCGTAACAAGCGCACACAAATTTTCACCAAATATTTAGTCCTAAATCACTGCATTTTTATTCTATATTTTCCTATGGTGGAAGCAATGTGTAGTGGGAAGTTATCTACATCACAATGCTTGGAGAGTTCTGTAAGGCTAAACTAAAGATAGCCATCCGTTTGGAAAGCTGAAGATGATGTTAGTGGTGTGTCTCTGTGCATTATGGAAATATGGTTCCATTTTACTGGTAGCAAATTAGACTGTTAAAAGCAGAGTGTTAGTACACGTAAAGGATTATAGGTCACCTAAACTGTACTACGGTAGGTATAAAAAAATCAACACACCCTTGTTAAAATGGCGGGATAATATGATGGTAAAAATTAAACCAAGGCCAGTCATGTCAAAACCTTTTCCACCATCAATGTGAAATTGCAACTTATACAAACAAGATGAAAAAATAGAAACCTTTTAGGGGAAAAAAATGTTTAAATTAAAAACAAGAACCTGGTTGCATAAGTGTGCACATCCTGTCACAGTTAAGGATATGGCTGTGTTCAGAATCGACCGACATTCAATCTCATGTTAAATATACCTAGTACACACCTGCCATTAATTAAAGTGACTCTGATTCCATATAAAGTTCAGCTGTTCCTGTAGGATTTTCCTAAATCTTCTCGATTGCATCCTACTGCAAAAGCCATGGTCTGCAAACTTTCAAAGCCTGAACGGGCTCTCATTGTCAAAAGGTATTGATCGGTAGAGGGGTACAGACCTGCTCATCTTCAATGTTTTCTCCTTCACCAGGTGAGCTTACATTGGAGGAGTTCATCAGTGGGGCCAAAGGGCATCCTGACATCATGGAAATGCTCACCAAAATGATGGACTTGACCCACGTCTTGGAGATCATTGTGGAGGGGCGACAGGACTTGTGTCAAAAGGGGGTTCAAAATGCATAGTTTTTATAATGGTCAGGGGAAGGGCAGATGTTTTTCATTTTTACACAGAGAAGTAACTGAAAAATATGAAAAGTTATAGAATAAAGGCGTTAACATTCTACCTGCAGGAAAAAGTGAAACGGAGTATCAGTCCATCTCCTGGAATCCTGTTCTTTTAAACTATCACTAAATATCTAATTATAGCTAAAGAAATTTCATAAAAGCAACGCTAAGTAAAATCATGGAAGTAGTTCCCCAAGCAATTGTTTCAGCTGTAATACCACATAAATCACTGCAGGCTACCAACATGCAGACCTTTGAAGTGCACTGGAGGATGCAGTGCTTACACAAAGCCATCAGGAGCTTATTGTTGATCTACTAATGCTGCAAGAGGCCAGACAGGGAGATGGCAACAGATCAGAGAATCACATTACTTTGGCTCAGGTAGAATGTCAGCTGAATAGGGTTTTAACATAATTCTTTTTCATAGGAGTTGTCTGGTGTGGCTTTGCATCGAACATATTTATTTCATCCTTTTTTTAAAAAAAAGTACAAAAATTTAAAACCATAGTATAAATTAAATGCAATAACTATGAAGTTTGGAATGATAGTGTAGCTGATCTCATGTAGTGGTCTTCATGCACATCCATTTAAGTTTCAGTTCCTTTTGCATTTTCTTTTATGCTAGTTATATATGAATATAACAGAAAAGGATTTGTTTTTGCTCTGAGGCTCTTTCCAGTTTTTTTAATGTTGTGCCGTAGCTAGGAAGTTCTTCGACTGGTTGATTTAAATGTCTACATTTTGTGTGATGCCTTTGAAAGCTCCATCGTGTTTTTCTAATTGAAAAACCCAAGTTCTAATAAAACAAAATTTACATTGATGTTAAATGCTTCTTTGTGCATTGTTCATATTTCTCTGGTATTTCCAGCTTTATTTTTATATAAAATTCATGCAAAGCATCCCAGAGGAAAGTTACTCTTTAAAATCAGTCTTCTGCTCTGCTTTGCGCTGCATGCATTTGTGCTAAGAGTAATACAAGGTCACCTTGTGGTGTTGGTCTGTATTTGCAACCTGTAACTTATAGAAAAGCCACCCTGTGCAAGTAAATGGTACTGCATTGCTGGAAACATACCACAATGGTAACACTTTACTTGACTGGACACAAATACTTAGTAATAACTCAGCTATTAATGAAGTACAACTCATGAACAAATAGTCGCTATTTGAGATAAAATGTGTCACGATTCATTAATGATGAGCAAACTCATGAGATCAGTATTTCACTTGTGTTATTCACTGCTTGTTCCTTCAGTAGTTCACAAAAGTTTACAGAATTAATAGATATAGTAACAAACATGGTCACTGCTTGGGATGAAAGATGCATCATGATTCATTACTGATGAACAAACATGGGATCAGAGTTTAACTTCCTTCAGTAGTTCCTTCCGTAGTTCCTTCAGTAGCTCACAGAATTAACAGATATGGTAATATACTTCTTGAGATAAAACATGCATAACAATTCATTAATGATGAATTAACATGAGATAAGTATGTAACTAAAACTTAGTTTGTAGTTAATTAATACATAAGTAACAGCATAATAGTATATTGCTTGTGCCCCATCAAGTAAAATGTTACCTTTACGATTAATGCATTTTTACTGTGAAATTCAGGAAAAGCCATTTTTACAGCTGAAACCAACACCAGCTGCTTAGGCAGCAGGGTCAGTGACCTAAAATGAAATCCCAGGACAAGTCCAGCCACCGAAAAAGTCAGTTTTTCACATTCTAAACATAGAACAAAAGGGTCAAGGCCAAGGTAGAAGTGAAATAAACTTTAAGAGGGCTAGAATAATCCATATTAGGAATTTCAGCTTTAATGAAATACAATTTGTTTCACATGTTTAAGTAAAATGCTGAGGAATTTCTAGTGCGATGCTGTGATGTGGCAGGTAAATCAGCTTAAAGGTAAGTGTAAACAACGTAAAGGTAAGTGTAATCAGCGTAAAGGTAAGCGTAGTCAGCGTAAAGGTAAGCGTAGTCAGCGTAAAAGTAAGCGTAATCAGCTTAAAAGTAAGCGTAATCAGCTTAAAGGTAAGCGTAGTCAGCGTAAAAGTAAGCGTAGTCAGCGTAAAGGTAAGCGTAGTCAGCGTAAAGGTAAGCGTAGTCAGCGTAAAGGTAAGTTGAGACCTTCCGTTTGTGGAGTGTCTGGGATGTGCTATGACTTATTTTTCTTATGCAGTATATAGGATTAAAAGCATTATGATGCCCCCCAGTATGGGGAGGCACAGTGTTGCAGTGGTTAGCACTATTGCCTCATTCTTCTGGAACCAGGGTTTGAGCCCCTGCCAGGGTTCCATATATGTGTAGAGTTTGCATGTTGTCATCCAGGTACTCTGGTTTCACCTCACAGTCTAAAAACACGTTGAGGCTAATTGGAGTTAACAAGTTGCCCATAGGTGTGCATGTGTGGGAGACTTGTGTGTTAGTGTCCTATGGGTTGATTGCTGCATCCTCTGTTGTTCCTCACCTTGTGCCTCTAGGCTCCAGATGCCCTTCAACCCTGAATAGGATAGGTGGTTTCAGAAAATGGATGGATGGATAGATATCCACCAGCCAGCAAATTTTGTCATCGGTAAATGGGGTCCCCTATTTCATCAGTAAGTGCCGACCGCCTAGTGCAGGGGACCCAAGGTGACCTTTTGTCAGAGGGCCCAGAATTTATAGCTCCTCCCCTGTTTGCCAGCATAGCAGTTTGGGCTTGTTTCATCATAATAAGAGCGAATGAGGTGAGGTTACTGGGATACAGCCAGGCTCATTTCAGTCTGTGCAAAGTTTGGTCAGATAAGAATTAGATAATGACCCTTCACTGTTGCCTAATCTTTGACAAGCTGCCTGAGATGGACTTGAAGTCTGACCACTCTGCCTGAGCTCTGCTAGTAATAAAAGTATACGACTTACTGTGTTCAGGCGGTTCATTACACTCCAGATGAATGTTTTGACTAAACCAGTTTGCTGAGCCTCTGAATGTGTATATTGTTAAAAATCAACAAAGGCCCAATAGAGATGATCCACCCCAGCACTGCCACACCAAAAGGCCAACCTTGCCACATTCAGCACCAGCCAAACGCCTGGACACGCCTGATTTTAATGCTTTTGTCTCTATTGTAGGTGTTATTCACCTTATAATAAAAGGCCTTGACACAATGACCAAGAGAATTGTTAAAGACTTTCGCAAAGTTTTCGCAAACAATATAAACAGCTTCTAGATGTAGCCACCTGGAATGCTTCTCATACAGTCCTGAAGGACTTTCCACAGGTTCTGGGCACAAGTTGGCTTCCTTGCTCTGACTCTTTGATCCAATTCATCCCAAACCAGGTCTAAAGGGTTCAGGTCGGGGGGGGGGATTGTGGGGGCCAGGTCATTTCATTTCACTCAATTTCTTTCCTTATTTCACAGGATAATACTTACTACATAACCTCAAGGAGTGCTTAGGGTCATTATCTTGTTAAAAAACAAATTATTTCCAGTAGATGTCTCCAAACTTTTGACTGGCACTTGTGTTCTGGGCTTGTCCCAGAATAACAGATATTTGGTCAATGGTGTTTAAAATCTTGTCTTGTTTTATACAGAAATGAAACCTTCATTTAAAATGGGAATTTCTGAAGTTCCAGGTGATTAGTATCACAATGACAAGAAAGAGGAATGATGCTTTTGGTTTTGAATTTCTCTTGAATTTCGCAAAGAGAATATTGTTAGTGGAAATCTAATATCCCACTGACAAGTTCACTGTGCCTAAGTGATCTGATGATGTTTCTAAAGTTGGAAACAATTAAATATTTACTCATGGGTTCTAGCCAATGATTTCATACAGTTTGGGGCCTTGTGATATTTTATCTGGAGAAATGTAAGGCTGCACTCTATACTCTTGTTTCTCATTAGCAGGGCCCCCGTCTTAGTGTGTATGTGAGTGCTGTTCACCAGGAGCATTAGGTACATGCTACATGCAATCATGAATGACATGCTGGGAGCAACTGCGCACCTAAACCACTTAACACCCCCCATTCATTTTCATGTTTATCATTTTCCTCCTCCTTTTAAATGGGAATTTATTTTCATAACTACTGTGTGTGTGTATACACACAAATATATATATATATATATATATATATATATATATATATATACACACACACACACACTCACTGCATTACTCCACAACAAAAATAACTACTAAAAATGGCATAGGTTGCATAGTAAACATGTACATGGATAATGGATTAATTCCTTCATATTTTCTCTGATTGGTTGTGCTAGTTAAAATACTGCTGATGTTTTTGCAAAATATGGATCATGCAATCCAACACAAAATGATTATTTTAATAAAAATATGTTGTAAAGTTGCAAAATTGTCATAGATAATGAAAACTGTGTGGCATGTTAATAAATGTAGCATAGCAATATAAAGCCAAGCATGACGGCTGGCTTTCTGGCACAGAGGTTGTGTCTAACCTCCCAAACAAATGGGCTGATCTGAGTCAACACTTCGTGTCAGCAGACTCCCCGCCCTGCCCCTCCTGTCCTCCATGTCAAGGTCTGTGTAGGACCTAGTTCCAATCACAACCCCTGGATCTAATTGCACAAGCAACGTGATCATCCCACTCAGGCTAGCACTATATATCTGCCTCCATCCTCTGTCTAGGCCCTGCACTGCAACCAGGCTTCAAAACATCAGCCTGCTACCACTTGTCCTACCCAGCATCAAAACACCAGGTAGCATGCAGTCCGCCGAGGGAAAGCTGGCCAGGAGCTGCGTGCTCCAGGCGCTGAGGTGCTACAGCACGGCCGTGCAGGACATGGAGCAGACAGTCATGCTGCCCAGCCTACTGCGGGAGGTGCTTTGTGAGGAGGATCCAGACCAGGCAGCAGCAGACGAGGACCTCTATGAGTGCTATCTCAGGCTCAAGGACATCCGGGCCGTGGTGGAGAGTGGCCTGGTGCTCGTGGACGACCACAGAGTCAAGGCCCACCAAGCCCTCGACAGAACACTGGAGCCGCTGCTGGAGGCAGAACCAGAGGCTGTCTTCCATTTCCATCTGAAGGGGCTCCTCTCAGTCATAGGCAACCTCACCAAGAAGTCGCAGGCTGTCACTGCAAAATACCTGGACATTGTGGGACTCACAAACTAAGACGACCCAAGAAAGCCTGAGGAGAAGAACCTTGGAAGTGATCCATTACTGTAATTTGAAACAGGTTCTTGAATATATTACGAGGATAACAACAGCTGTTCCTATCAGACTGAATAAAGGTGCTTTGGGGAATAAAATTTGTTGGCAATCCTGGTATTTCTTAGGCATTCTGAGACTACTCGTACAAGTTTAATAAGCAGCTGCATTAAAAAGTAGGATACATGTAACGTAAAGGAATTTAAGAACTTTCAGTGGCTGGGGCTGAACTCAGTTTATACCAGCAGGTTAAAAAGAATCACCAACAACTCCTGCTGGGATATAGCTGAAATTAAGGTACTTAACAACCAGAGCTCAGGAGAGGGTGTCTACTGATGAGACAATCTCCCTGTTAAAGGGCATTTCATGCTTCTCAATGGGCTGTTTTACAGAGTTAAGCGAATTTCATTATAACGAGTAGAAAACCCCCAAGTGAAAATACTGGCAACTAATAAAGGATCTCTAATAAAGTTATCCATGGGTTCCTGCATTGTTTACCAATGATGCAATGATTTTAGGAAGAACCGGTGCAAGGACTGATACCTTTCATCAAGATAAATAACAATGTTGAGCTGATATTTTCATGATTTATAAGTCAACTCTTTCAAACAGCAACCAAAACATAAACATGGTATTTCATAAGTTATTTAATTTTATGTAAACATGTATTATAATAATTTTCTTACGGTTACAAGTAAGGGCCTGTAATCATTTAATATGGTATGAAAAAGGAATCCAGCTGAAATGGAAATTTTGAAATAGGGATCCTGAACTCCAGTGAGAGAAGCATAATGAAAATAGACCTGATCTTAAGGACATTGCAAAAAAAAGCTGTTCAGGAATCCTGTGGAAAGATGTTACAAGCTATAACCCAATACACATTAATATAGCAGTGTTACTAATGTAGATACAGGCATTTTATGTCATTACAAAAATCGAACACATTGTAATTTAAAAATCGCCATTATTATAACGTTAAAAATGACTAAACAAACAAACTTCTATTTAAATATGTGACACGAGCATAAGTCAAAACACAAACTCTAGTACATATAACATAAGGAGGAATCTGTACGTTACAACTATAATTGTTAGTAAACCAGCGTCCCCGCCCATCCTGGGTTTGTGCTCGGATGTCCCGTCATGCACTGAAAGACGCCATAAGTGACGCCACGCCTCTAAATTGTGACGACACACAGAAACAAACTTTAGATCAGGTGACAGGTTCATGTTTTTTTTTTTTTGTGAGCTATTAGTTTTCACGGCTCACGTTTAAGAACTATTTTTTTATGTTGATGGTTTGTTGGTACATTTGTATCTTTAATGGGCCGGGCTTGTCTGAGCGTGCCTCCGCGCTCCACGCGCTGCCTGCGGGCTTTAAGATGCTCGCTATCACGTGTAACTTGTGACAGGTCTCTTCCTCTCTCTTTCTTCCTCATTCCGTGTCCGATGACACCCCAACGTGCGCCCTCCATTAGGGGGGTCCTTGTCGTTCTGCTTCTTTTTTGCTTCTTAAATGTGCAAGCTTTAAAATCCCAGCTCTTGTCCAGACTTAGTGCCGCGAACGCGCCTGTCGCAAACGGCGTGTCCTACGTAACCAAGTACTTCGATCAGAAGGTAAGTTTCTTTACTGCAGCTGAGAGTTTGCGTACATTTAGTTTTTTTTGTTAATGTATTACGGTTAAATTGTGCGTTTTTTGTTGCTTACGGTAGTTTGAAATGTTATTGTGACGATTGAGTTTGGTGGAGAAACTTCCTTCTTTCGTTTATGTCTGTATGGAGGAACCTCGGTGCATGAAGTCAGGAGGCTGTGAGATCGTGCGACCTTCTGTGTCCCTATTAGCGTAATAATGCAGACATTTATAAAAGGAACGTTACATTCTCACATCCTTATTCCTGAACTTTAGGGGTTTGTTAAATAAAAGAACCCAGTTACATGGTATAGGGAGACCGACAGGAGGAAGACTGAGGGTAGATGGACTTTACAATTATTAACTGATCATGTGCAAACGTTTCACTATTCAGCATGCACTTTAAACAGAATCATCAATCTTCGCGCAAATGAGTAACAATTATTGTATGTAAATTACATACAAATTTACTTGAATGTTGCTGATAGTACTTGACTCATCGAGGCGGCGTGGAGTAGTCTTCCACCTCCTCACTATATAATGAAGTCATTACCGTAGATCTGTATTGTGTTGCAGATAATCATTATTTCCTCCTTGCTGCCAGCAGGCAGACTGGGAAAGACATTAAGTGTTGGCCAGCTTGCAAACGGATATCCCCGCTGGCGGGCTGCCCTAGTGAGACCTGTTATGGTCCTGATAACTGCTATAACTTCAAATGTGTGCTGCAGTGGTTTACATATTAATTGACTGTTTTAAACATGTTTAAACACATTTAGTGAAATGCTGAGATGGTATTTCCACTGAGTGCTTTGACTGTCTGATGGGTTCAGTGGTGAATTGGAGCACGCTTGGGTCATCACTGACCGTTATGTTTTTGACTTTTATTTTCTCTTGCACCTTTTCCCCTTTTAAAATACAACAACAAAAGGAAAACTGCTGTTGATGTCTATATTTCCAGTGCTTCCAGTACATCTAAAGGATGACCCCTAGTTAAGTTTAAGCATTTCCTTTTTTTTTTTACATGAATATGAAGACTTTACACTGGGGACCAAGTGTTTTTACAGATGCTTCACACACCCTCACCCCTCCCCACCCCCCACCTAGTTGTAGGTTCAGGAGGAAATTTAAGACCGTGTACATTTTTTAGCACCCATTGCTTAGATTTCCTGTTGGCTTGAGTAGCAAAGGAAGTCCTGATTTAGCTGTGGTGGTGAAGATGGCTGCATCCTTACCAATGCAAAATAAACCTTTAAAGACTGATTTTGAAGTGAAACTCCAGAATTCTGGAGTTTTTATAATATACACCAGTAGTAACAGTGACAGTTTTTAGTGATTACTTTATTCAACTGTTGCTCCAGTTAGTTATTTAATCGTCCAATGTATGGTTTTACAAATTGTTTTGTAGAGTCTGAGGAGAAGCCTTTACGCCCAGGCCTATAGGATCATTAATGCTACCAAATCCATCCGCCCCTCCATCCATCCATTTCCTTTCCTCTTCCCGCTTGTCCTGTTCAGGTTCAGGTGGGGTCCAGAGCCTATCCGAGAGGCTACGGGCGCAAGGCAGGAAACAACCCAGGATAGGATGGGGCACCAATCCGTCTCAGGGCACACTCACACACCAGTCTCTCACACATACACACCTAGGGGCAATTTGGTAACTCCAGTTAACCTGAGAAATACTGATGTAGAGTATTTAATTGTGTGTAGGGCCCTTTTAAGTAACAGTGATTCCTTAAATTAGTGCGTATGACCATTACATTTAAAATTCACCAGAAGATTCACCAGCCGACTGAAATCCCAGTGTTGTCCGATATTAAAGAGCATTTCAGTTTGATTTCCATGTATAGGCTCTTCCACACCGTATTTATGGGGTTTCATCTATCTTATTTTTTGAAAAAATATTATTCTAAATCTATTTAGTGATTTAGTTCCCCTAGAGTTCCCCCAGAGTTCCCCCTAAGGGTCATATCCAGCTCCTATCCTCCCTTTTCCATAACCGCTTACCCTGTGCAGGATCGCTGTGAGCATGGTGGCTGCCACCGGAAACGCTGGCCACAACATGCCAATCACAACATGCCAATCAACATGCCCACACTCAGGCACCAAGAAACTAGAATGCAGAAGCATTGTTTGTTTCTAACAGTGAAACGTTTTGAGTGTTTTTGCCAGAGATTGAAAGTTCAGGTTCAGAAAGTATGAATCCAGACCAAGATTGTGTTTCAACCGACCAGTTGAATACTCTGTGAATGTGACTTTTTATGCTCAACTGGTCGGTTGATACACAATCTTGGTCTGGATTCATGCTTTCTGAACCTGAACTTTCACCCTCTGGTTTTGGCAGTGGCGTTTAATTTGACTGTGTCAAAGGCCCCTTGTCAGTTCTTACAATTTTAATGACTATTACCATTATTGGCCACATGGTGGCATTGTCTAGCTGTGAGCACAAATATCTGGAGGCCACAGTCCTTTCTCTCACACAGAGCAGCTACAAAGAAGAATCGGTTAAATAGGAACCATATACTGGGTTGTTTTGTGGCATAGAAACTCTACTTATTTAATTTTTGACAGTTTTTTTTGTAGCTGAAATTGTGCTTTTTATTCACATGTTTTTAATAGAAATATCATTAAAAGCATTATTTAGTTCCTTAACTGTTACAGTTGTATGTCATTTCTGCATTGTAATTCTAGTGAAAATCTCTTATCCTTTGAGTAGAGTGCTGCGTTAATTAAATCATCAATAGAGCGCTGTTGTGAAATGACTTGCAGTCCGTTTCAATGTGACCATAGATAATCCTGCAGAATGTTCCAGACATTGTTCCTAGGAGTCCGTGTTTCCAGACCAGCGGAAATTGGTGACATAAGACTTAAGATAGCACCCCTAAAGGTGCCCTTGGCAAGGGGGGGGGGGGGGGGGGGAGACATAAAGTGGGTCTGATTTTTTTTTTTTGATGTTCTTGGCATTTTCTTTTCAGCACGACAGGGCTGTTGCTTTGATCAGTAGATAGAAGGTCTCCCCAAAGTGGCTTCAAGGTTTCCATGAGGCGTTGACTCTGTGCCAGAGATTGATGGGGGTGGGAGGAAGAATGAGCACATTCAAGTCTGAGAATGTTTTTGTTGGGGTTGGCTCATAAAAAGGCTGGAGCTTGTTGGATGCTGTGGAGAAGGGACTGGGATGGGGTCGGGGGGGGGGGATGAGTGGCTTTCCCTATAGACCGTAGGGTATGTTTCAAGTAGAGGGACAAGTCTTCAGTGGCTAACCCTTTCTGTTATCTGGAGTTATGACCACAATCAATCCCCCCCCCCCAAAAAAAAATGATTGGAGAAAGAGAGCATGTGGTGAGCAGGAGAGATTCACTGCAAGCACCAGAGATCGATGAAAAGCGATCACTGCGCTCTGCTAAACTGGAACTAATGTGGCATCCCTGAAACTGGCTCTGGGTTTTAATACAAATTGAGGCTAATTATTCTCTCATCCAACCCAGAGCTTGTCTATTCACAGTGCTGGGGTGGAGCAGAGCCAGAGCCCTTCAGAACACCCTCCACCCGCCATGTGTGGTTGATCTCCTGTAGTTTCTCTTATCTCCACACGTTAGCATTGTATGTGAACAGAAATGGTTAGAAAACGTCTTCACTCCTCCTCATGTAATGGAGCGATGTCTTTATGCTTTGCTGAAATGAACAGTTTTTTTTCTAGTATATTTGCCTGCTCCTATTTACCGATTTTCGTTTAAAGTTCCTACTAAAATTACTGTTTTGCAGTACCTCACTCCATATGCACATGTATGTCTTTACAGATTGATCACTTTGGATTTTTAGAGGACGGCACCTTCAAGCAGAGATATCTTGTTAATGATGACCACTGGCATCAGATTGGTGGCCCAATCCTCTTCTACACTGGGAATGAAGGAGACATTACTTGGTTCTGCAACAACACAGTAATAATTTAACATGCTTTGATGAAATCTGAAGTATGCATGCTAAGATATTATTGGTGAATTTGATGGAGGGGGACGATGACTCTTATTCTTATTGATCTGTGTGCAGGGTTTCATGTGGGATGTTGCTGAGGAACTGGGTGCCATGTTGGTGTTTGCAGAACATCGGTACTACGGGGAGTCTTTGCCATTTGGAAAAGAGTCTTATAGCGTGAGTGATGAAAGTGATTTGGCGTCGTCCCCTGCTACTGCTACATTTCTGCTGAATTCCCCTGGGCTGCTGGTCACAAATAGGTCCTGAGGGACCGTGGAGCACGCCAGCCCCTTAATTAGTGACCTTTGTTTGGTCTTCTACAGCATTTCCATCTAAATGTAGCACCTACTTTGAAATAAAAGGCCACACATTCTTTCACTTGATTCTCATTTGGATGTCAGATTGAAAGTGAATGTCAGTTTATTATCTTAAACCAATTTTTCAGAATCTATGAATTATTTAAATCTCTAGGTGCTGAAGTGATGAATTCTGGGAGTCAAGAATTTGTCACATTCATCTTTTAGCTTTTTCTGCTTAATAGCATGCATTCAAAAAAATTAAATATGCAAAATCATGGTCAGAATTAACAGAAGTGTAATTAAGAGTTATGCTAGAGTCTTGCTGATTTTGCTCATTTCCATTAAGCAGAAGCAGCATTGGGTTCTTCCGTTTCTTCTGATACAGAGTCTCAAGCATCTGAACTATCTAACATCTGAGCAAGCCCTAGCGGACTTTGCGGTGCTCATCCTGCACCTGAAGGCTACAGTGCCTGGAGCCACCAAGAGTCCTGTGGTGGCCATCGGAGGCTCCTATGGGGGGATGCTGTCAGCCTGGATGAGGATGAAGTATCCCCATCTGGTGGTGGGGTGAGACACTACAGGGATTCATACTTTCATGGCTTTTCTAATTCAACCTCCATTTTCATAGCTTCTAAATCTGAGTCATCCTGCATGTTTGGTGATATGACAACACACACAGTTTGAAAACTGCACTTGTTTCTTGAAAAGCAAACCCTTGTAGACAGATTCTGGCTGCATCTGAATTCAAGGGCTGCATCCTTCCAAGGACGCAGTCTAAGAAGGCATAGTCCTTGTAGGCTGTGTTCCTTTGAAAGGGCGAATGGAAACGTTGCCAAATAGGATGGTCTGGCCATCACCAGCTGTTCAGTTGAGTCACAAAGCCCCGCTCATATTGCTTAGCCAGGACACGCCCACTTTATCTCTGCGCAAAGAATTTTGGGATATGTTGGGTTGCGAAGGATCCATGAGGTCCTTCACAACACTGATAATGAAGGACACATTTCTAGATGCATTTTAATGTGCCTTCGAAATGGGACAGCCTTGTCGCACCACTGTCACGCGTTTGCTAGCCTTAGAAGGGTGCAGCCCCTGATTTGAGACTCAGCCTCTGTGCATTCCAGGGCTCTGGCCGCCTCTGCTCCCATCTGGCAGTTCACCAACATGACGAGCTGTGGTGTCTTCTACAAAATCGTGACCAACGATTTCACCAGACATGGCTTGGATTGCTCTGTGAGCATCAGAAAGTCTTGGTCGTCAGTTGACAATGTTTCTTCCACAGGTATGATGTTAATGAATACTTTTGTATTTAATATATAGTGTGCAGCAGTCGGGTAGAGAATATTGTCTTTGTTCTCATTGTCCTGTTCGTCATCTCCTTCCCTTTGCGTAGATGATGGTCTGACTTGGCTCTCCAATGAATTCAGCATGTGCTCTCCACTGAAGAAGCAGGACATGCAGATGTTCAAGGCCTGGCTTCAGGAAACCTGGGTGAATTTGGCCATGGTCAACTACCCATATGAAGCCAACTTCCTGCAGCCCCTTCCAAGGTGGCCCATCCAGGTAATCTCAGCAGAATGTCATCGTAGACACAGCGATAGTAGTTGCAAACTCTTACTGCAAAAATATCTGCTGATCTGTCCCAACCTTTCATATATTTATTAATATGATGTATTATCTTTAATCTTAAAATATGTCATTTATACGGTCACCAGGAGGGGTGTTATTAAAACAGTTTCTTCAATGAAATGGAAGCTCTGTGTTCTTGACTTTGACGTATTCTTGTTTCAGAGTGATAAGGGAGTGAGGTCAGTGTTCTTCATCTAGAGAACTTGGAGTTTGTTGATTAAAAGTAGAGTTTGCACAGGATCTCCCTTTTTTAAAACGCTCTCATCAATTGTGAATATTTACGTGATGATAAATACGTATGAACTTGGGTGTTAGAAAATAAGGTGAATATTTGGTGAAGACAAATCAACTTTTGAAGTTGGCAACCACTGACTTTTGGTAATCGACGATAACTGGTAGCCCGGTTGTTGGGTTTCTGACAGTGACTAACCAGTGATTATTGCCTTTGTCGGGAAGTAGACTTAGGCTGCACACAAAGCAAGATAACACATTTATTATTTGGCTATCAGCTCAGCCTTCTAGCCTGCGTTTCCGTCATATATATAAAAAAGTCACTTATTTTTAAGGTAGGTATCTGTCTCTGTAAACGTTAGTTATAATGATGGCACGCAGGAAGGGCTTACCATAAGTTTGTGAACCACTGCTTTAGGCAGTCTGCAACATGTTTTAAAATCGTAATTAAATCCAGCCCGCCGATCGATTGTTTTCCACAGAGGCACAGAAACGATGATCGGCTCTGCTAATCAGCTGCCCTCTCCCTCTTCCAGTTTAACAGCGGCTGTTTAGTGGATTATCAATCGTTTTTTCATACTTTAGCATTTTTCTTTTGGCTTAAAAAAATAAAAATAAAAAATTAAGTGTCCCGCTTGGTGCTCTGTGTGTGTGTGTGTGTGTGTGTGTGTGTGTGTGTGTGTGTGTGTGTGTGTGTGTGTGTGTGTGTGTG